TTATTAATATAAGATTTTGCTTGTAATTTATTTATGAAATACATAAATAAGTAACGAAAATATTATAAGTTTCACTCGCGCTCATAACGAAATAAAACAATAAGCACCTAACATTGTCTGAATATTGTACAGAAAAAAAAAAATAAAACAACGAAACGAAACTCGAAGACAGCCGTCCCAACTAGTTACGTCACTAGTCAAAAAAACTTTTTGTATTGTTTTATTTTTCATATTTCTCCGAAAAGTTTTACGCGAGACAAAAGTATGATTAGTTGTAAAGTTAGCTGAGATTTTTCTTTGTAAATGCTTCAGTCGCATTACTTTCATGTATACCTACTTTTTTATAGTCGTTAACTGACGTGAAAGCAAAAAATACGAAAGGGTCGCGGTAAAGTCAACAGTTGGAAATAAAAACAAGCATATTTTTATTATCTGTTCTGAACGAAACATTGTTGGTTTATGTGGAAAGTTCATAGACATTGATATGACATATTAGAAAATATGACGGTGTGTATGTTCATCTGCTCATAACTTCTAAGTTTCGTAAGATACATACCTCATTTATTAAATATCCGTATGATATTTAATTTATACGACAGATGACATCTGCTTCTCTCTCTACTACCTAATGACTACGACCTTTGCAACAAGAGCGAATCAAATAAGAAGAAGAAGAATGATATTTAATAAATAAGGTATTATCGGAGGAATTTTAATTGTCCGCTTATATGACATCACATTCAATGAAATATGGCGCTCACTGAAGGATGATAATAATAATAATAATAATAATAATCTCAGGACAATTCACACAGCGCCATTTAGTCCCAAGTTAAGCTATCTAAAGCTTGTGTTATGGGTACTAGATAACTGATACAAGTACATAGATATTATTTTTTCGTAAATACATACATATCATACGTAGAAAACACCCAGACCGATACAAACAATCATACTCATGAATACAAATGTTTCCGTGCGAGGAATCGAACCCGCGACCATCGGACGTAAAGCGATGTGCTAGACCGCTAGACCACCGTGGTCGTGGATATAATGTGTTACCAAATATTTGTTTATTGTTAAAAAAATATTTTTATAAATAGGATATATATACATACCTAGATATGCACTAAGTTAGATTTTTTAATTATAACTGATTTCCCATTAATTTTCCATTTAGAATAAATTTTTATAGTCATATCTAAATAGTGTTAAATAAAGTTGCTGTAACAATCAATTCAATTCAATTCAAAAATAATTTATTCATGTAGGACATTTTAGCTTATGAACGACAAATTTTACGTTATAAATTTTTTTCCCTACCGTCCAGTTCGGTATATAGATCCAATTGAGAGGAACTGGCAAGAAACTCAATAGAATTACTTTTTTTTTTAAAGCCAGTTTATTTACAATGTAAGGGTATTTCTATAGGTGTCCATGTCTAACAAATATAACAAATGAAAATCCCGTACATGAACAACTATTGCCATGCACGCTCGTCATTCAAGTAATCGTTTAGTGAGTAATAGGCTTTGCTCAGTAAATATGATTTAACAGATGTTTTGAATTTATTTAAGGGTAATTCCAATATATCCTTTGGTATCTTATTGTAAATTTTTATACCTATTCCCATAAAAGACCTATTGACTTTTTTCTAAACGATACTTAGGAACAGCAAGTGTGTCTTTAAATCTAGTATTAATATTATGAACATCTATTTGTTTTTCCAATTGTATTTCTATAGTTTGGAACATGTATAACAAACTACGCAACAGATTTTGTATAACTTTATGTCAATCACTTAAATATATAATATTTAAAATTGTTAAAAGTAAGTGTCGGTTCAGTTCAGTCACACTTCTCCGAAGCAGTTTAACCGACTTTTATGAAAATTCATATGTATTCGTATGTCTGGGAATATGTAGTTATCTATTTTTTATACCCGCAAGTAACAACACATCCTTTTTTTATTATTTGAAAACAAAATTGATTAATTTTTTAAGAGTATAGTATAATATAAATATAATAAAAATAAGTAAAATCCTAAATTTTCACTCTTCTACCACCAAACCTTATTTCTAGGAGCCATATTAATTTATCTGGCAAAACAATGTTTGCTGGGTCAGATAGTTTTCTTATAAAAAAATTAATATTTCATATTAAATGTTCCAATCGGGCGAAGTCAGAACGGTTCGCTAGTTAACAAAATACTAAAATGAACGTATGGTACGTAAACGATAGAATTGAACCCAATTATAATAATAATTGAGTTCAGTAAATAAATACGAAGCTATTACTATAACAATTGCTTTATAATAATGAACTTTGTAAATAGCACTTAAAGGGTAATAAACTTAGCGATTCTAATTAATGTAATTGAACTGAAATCGAATATTGATTTAGGCTTCGCTCTTTGGTCACAGTTGTTTATAAATAATACAATGCTTCAGCAATCAAGAAAGCCTTTTACTATACACTGACAGCTTTGGTAGTATAGCAGTTTAGTACTCGTACACCGCCACAATTCTAATAGTCGCAAGTTCGCGTCGTACTATACAAATATTTGTGTTCATGAATATGATTATTTGTATTGGCCTGGGTGTTTTCTATGTATATTATTTATGTAATATTTTTATAATTTAATGAGTAAGGCGTGTTCTTTACCGCATCTTTCCTCGTAATATTATGTACATATTAGTGCAAAAAAGAATATAAGTTTAAAAATAAATATCATCTATTTGTTTAAAAAAAAGTCTTTATATCAGTTATTTGGTGCCCATAATACAAACTCTTCCTAGCTTGAGACTAAATGGCACTATATATTTGTGCATTGCGCTATATTGGTTTCTTGATCTCAATATCAAATACTGTCAGTATTATATGTTCCAAATTCATAGTTAAAGAGGGGTTTTTCATCTAGCTAATTCTGTTGAGTTCAACTGAAAGAAAGAAAAAATATTTATTCAGTGCTTAAGAAATACAAAACATATTATGCCGACCCCAAATAACTGGGATGAGGAAGAACCACATGATGTCAAAAGAAACAAAATAATAATATTTTACATGCATATATATACGTATATATTTATAGATATAATTATTTTTATACACAATAAAAAAAAATCTCATATAAATACTGAAAATATTCTCTAATAAATTTTCGATCTTTATATATGAAAAAAAATATTAATGTTTATTTTTTTATCAGTCCTAATATAGTCTGTAAATATACATTACATATTACATGATATTTACTACAAAAAGGAGTAATAATATAATATTGTATTTCTCTCGTTCTCAAAACTAACTGTAACTATATTTAGAATATTTTATGATAGGATCATGTTTATAAATATTAGAAAGGACTCTACATACACAAAAGTAGACTAAACAAACATGTTATCATGTATCACTAGCTGACCCGCGCGACTTTGTCTTCATCACACTTAATTGACATTTATCATTAAATTTCGTTAAATTTACATAATATCTTTTAAATTATAGCATATATGTTATTCTGATGTACAATCTATATCATTGGAAAGTTTCATCAAAATTCGTTATATATTTTTTGGATGAACTAGTAACAAACATCCATCTATACTCACAAAATTTCGCGTTTATATCTTACTCATATAGTAAGATGTATTACACAGTCGCTCATTCGTAATATGACCTTTGGGCAAAATATTATTTATTTAATCTTGGCGAATAAAGGACCATTACCGTAAATAAACTAGTCGAGTCATGTACTGTATATTAATTACAAATTTTTGGTAACTAGTGCGAAATAATAGCGAATTTATGTAAATATGGTACAATTTTGTTTGGCAAGTTAACGATTCGCATTACCAGAGAAGTACATTCAAATATTATTATTATATTAACAATTAACACAATGACTCTTAGTAATGAAAACACTGTTTTCTAGTAAGTATAGTATAGTATCAACTATAGTGAACTGTAACATGAACAATTATGTTTCTTCTATGTAAATATGTATAATAAAAACGCTGGACCATCCACATCACCATCTAGTCCCAAGCCGAACAGAGCTTGTATTATGGGTACTAGGTACACATAAGTGCTTTTATTGTATATACACACATAATTTACAAAGAAAACACCGAAACGATACAATCATATGAATACAAATGTCTGTACCGTGCGAGGAATCAAACCGAATACCGCTTGGTCCGCTACCATCGGTAGTAAAGCGGATGATGTCCTCTTGCCCGACTACAGCGATGTTATATATGTTAACTAGCTACCCACCCTGGCTTCGCGCGGGTGTACATGTATTATACATATAAACATTCCTTTTGAATTACTATATCTATTAAAAAAACCGCTTCAAAATCCGTTGCGTAGTTTTAAAGTTTCGAGCATATACTCGTATAGGGATGGACAGACAGCGACAGCGACTTTGTTTTATACTATGTAATGATATATATATATATATATAATTGTAATAGGTTAGCCTATACATGCTTCAGTGTTTACATTATTCCAATTTCGCATTGTACTTATATCAGTCTCGTCATCCCTTCCTGATCTGGATCTAAAACCTATCCTTTTATATGCGAAACGAAATGTCCATCCAACCGTCGGCTAGGACAGAAAAAAGTATGTATTGTTCTCGGTCTAAACCTTCTAAACCAGTGATTCCAAACCTGTTTAGTGCTCCAAATTAGCTTTTCTAAAACTCTTATGCTGTCCCCCCAGCATGTAACATACATAAATAATCGCATTAAAAAAGTAATATACAGTAATCATTAATATAGTATATATAATCGTTAATGAAACGGTAAAGTTAATTTCCAAAACCTATAATGAAAAATTGAAATTTACATTCCATATCATTTTAATATAGGCATTTTCGAATTGTCCTCCTGTGGGGTATGGGCCCCACTTTGGGATACACTGGTCTAAACTAAAGAGACAACCCTACACTGTTGGCTCACACCTGCCAGCGTTCCGTATTCGCTGGCCGCCCGTCGTGTAGAGCGGTCGCTTCTCGCATACCCGCCGCGAGTGTTTAACCGCCGCGAGTGTGTTGATGAATCCGTGATTTATGTTTTGACTTTTTTCGTGTGCAATTTCACTCGAGGGACGACCATCGTCGATGGAATTCGCAATACGTGAGCCCCTTTTCTAATATGCTAATAGCGTTGTTTCCCTGATTTGCTTCGTTAATGTTAACGTTCATTAGATTTCGGATACAATTGTATGGATTAATGTTGTTTTCCTCAAATTGAAACAACAAATTGCTATAATTTAGGATGAAGTATTAACGGGAATTTAAAGTATAAAAGTTGGTTTGTTTATTTTCATTTCTTAGGGTATTCTTTTACGAGGAATACAAGTAACAAATCAGCAAATATCTTTACGGTACAAAACATTTTTTTAAATAGAATATTAATATATCTTAGGGATATAAAATATATAAACTTACGACTATAATTATTTAACGATCACTTTGTTATTTGGAAAGATTAATAAGTTTCCATCAGTTTACTTTATGGTATCTGACGATATTTAATATTGAATATCTCTAGACACGATCTCTAAATTTAACTAGTTACTTCTACAATTATTGTATGTTTATACGTTTCTATTAATAAACCATAGTAAATATAAAAATTGATAAACAATAATCATAGAGAAAAGTTCGTAGCACATTGCTACGGCGTAGAAAAGTGCTACGAATAATAAAACGAGTGGATTATATGTACTTACATATTATTTTTGAAATAATAGTTATTAATATTATTTAATAATTATTAACTGTTAACAAATAAACAATATGAATAATTGTAATGGAAATTTATATTAGTTAATTTTTAATTAATTCGTAACAAAATTGTAGCTAAGAATGTTATACATAATTTTCAAATGGTAGGATATGTCCTTATATCTCTTTTGGAATTATAGTCATAAGCATGTGTTATAATATCGGATTCCTACAGTTTCGTCTGGAATCTATTATTTCCTATCCTCGTGGCAATTCCGCAAAACCCTCTTTGAGATTAAGGAATTCACATGTTCAATTTCATTCTCATAGACCAAGTAGTTTTAAAGACTTAGTGATTGATCAAATGAGTTGCAGTTTGTTTTTTTAAACCGTCATTGTACAATTATTAGTTTAAGTTTTAATGGCATATTCTTCAAATATATATTTTTATTTAATTTAAAAATAAATAGAAACATTACTTTTATGCATAATATATAATAACAATTTTTTTTTATTCTAAATTTAAATAAAATCAGTGCTTTCATTAAATAATATATTAAATATATAAAATAAAAGTTAGTATTATAAATTCTAATGATAAAAATATATTTGTAAGATTTAAAAAATAGTTAATATTCTAAGTTCTCGTTAATCTAAACTAATGTTATAAAGGGGTAAAGTTTGTGAGGTTGTTGTGGGTTATTTACTGAAACTACTGAACCGATTTTGAGAATCGAGAATTTTGTTCAATTTCGTTTTAATGTAGATGGGACTTAGAAAAGAAAATAGGTAATTCGAAGTACTAATTACGGTACGATCCATAGGAACTATTAATAGGCGGTTTCTGTAACAAAAAACATTGTAGCAACCGGCTAAAGGCGAAGCTATCAAATTTGCGTGGATCGCTAGTCTCATACAATATTTACATCATCTGGTATAATAATCGTGGAGAAGCAGCCACTTTCTCAACTCAAAGACTAATATTTTATAGTTCTTTAATATTTCTTTATATTTATTAGTGGTTTATCGATTTAGACAGTGATTTACTTCCGATGATAGCAGGTTCGACTTCTCGCATTACACAAACATTTTTATTCACGTGCATGATTATTTGTATAGGTCTGGATATTTTCTATGTAAATATTAATATCAGTTGTAACTATTATTAGATTAGTTAGAAAACGTTTATTTGATACACATAAAATATATAACGAACAGAATTTTTACTTTACAATTTGGATCATTAGTTGTGGTATTAAGTACATTAGTTGTGGACTAAAATAATCCATCACATTTAAAATTAGTACTGTTATTGGAAGTAAAAGTTATGTCTCACATGCGAGTAGGATGAAATCAAGAATAAATTGTATTTACTGCTGTAAGATTGCTGCTAGGTTGTCTGTAAAAGATTGCTTTAGCGATTAGGCCGCCTTTTGTTAGCGTGCTTTCTATTGATTTTTATTTGTATTTTTTTTCTGCACCATAAAGAGTATTATTATTATATCCACTGAATATCTGAATCAATAACAGCTCAGCTTAGCTTGAGCATAGCTGATTATTATTATTGTAAACGTTATGGTGGCCATTGATTCGCAAATCGTAATCAGCGAGACGTAAATTCAAATACCTTTCTTTCATAAAAAATGAGTAATAACAGATTATGAAATATTTCATATTAAAATTATGAAATAGAATAAAGGTTCTCCGGTAGATACTTATTAGGGAAATTCGTATTGCTTTCGGTAGCGAAAAGATATATTATTTTCAGCGCCCAAAAGAATTATTCATCCGTCTATCTATTCTTTATCTTCGTGTCAGACGCCTTTCAAGCAGAAAGAATCATGTATTAAATCATCTTTGTTATAATTATTATGATTCACAGTATTATAAACTATTATCTTTGCAAAGATATAGTATCTAACAAAAGAATTGTTGATATTTGGTGTAGATAATTTTGTACAATAATATTATTTATAAATAGAATTGTACTTTTTTAATTAGCATTTTTTATAATAATATGGATTAAAAATAAAATTATAATAGGATGAATAAAAGAATTTTCATATTCATTTAATGAATTAATACTTTTAACTATACATTTTAGTTTATTTGCCTCCTTCCTTACTAAACCATACATTAAGTCACATAGAGAGTTGTTTTTCATTTCAATTCATACAGCGCTATTATTATTATTATTTTATGAAGACTTAATTGGTAAATATGCGAGATGAAATACGGTATTCAGAAATTAGCTAACAAGTGTCTCATACTTATATAAATAAGGTTCATAATATAACTGTACCTATATCTTTATATTTATGTCAAATTTCTTGCCGGGTAAGTAGAGCGAACTAAGTGCCAAAGACCTTTGTCCATGATATATATGAGTATATTTAATTAATCCAGTTTTGTACCTATTCTCATGTAGTTCCGCTTATGTACTCTCAGGGAAGATGGATATTATTATTAATTTGAACTAGTGACTCTATTACTAGTAAAATGCCAGGTAGGCATCCACATGGTTTCCGCCCGGAAACCATCTTGGATGATTCCTGGTATATTTGTCACGATGGGCTAACTAACCTGACCCCTTATCCTGTCTCCCACTGGCAACCCGCCCGTGTATACGTTAGTGTAACTGACTGCTCTGTCCCTTTACTAACCAATAGTGACCCCGGCAGGATTATCTAACAAAAAATTTAAAATTATAATTTTTTACGCAAATAAAGACATAATAATATCGATACATCTACCACAACAATCATATATCAATCGTGAATATCAATATTTGCATCGTGCAAGGATTCAAATCCGCAATCATCGGAAGTAAGGCGAGGTTTTAAGCCGCTGCACCATCGAGACCGTCAATTGGGTAGTACGTCAACTACTATACGATGACATTATTAGTAATAAATAAATAATACAACATATACCTCATATAATTTTAACGAAGTATTTTACTTTGATAACAAAATTGACAACGAACGACGCCGTCGGCCCAAAAACACGAATAAGCAGGTTCGGAAATTCAATATTGAAGTTTGTTTACGAATCGAATTAGGCTAACAAATAACGGAGTTGGGAAAAAGTTTTTTTATTACCCACATATACGTTACGTCGTTTTCAGAATTACATTTTAAAACGTTTATAATCCCATTATCAAAAAAGCTTTACAACTGCCCGAAAATAATAGAGGTCTTATGGATGATAATGGAATGATGCACCCGCCTGCACTAACGGGTTCCGCTGGCGAGGCACTAGTGGAGGATAAGCATGAGGTCAGGTCAGCCAGCGTGGTAAATTCACAACGAATTTATCACGATGGTTCACAGGGAGAACCGCGTGGAGGTCAACCTGAAATGGCACATGTTAGCAATGGATTTATTCCTCAAACTACTATTCCATTCCCCCACATAAATGAGGTATAGGACGTCCTCCAACTACATGGTGGACCAGTAAGTAAAATATCATTGAGACGGAAAAATTGCTCCGACAACCAAGGACAGATTGTCCTGGCGCCGTAAAATTAGTAGATCCAACGTCATGTAAGTGGGATAGTGTAAAGAAGAATAAGAAGATATATATAAATTATTCTATTGTCTGACGGTATTTATAGTAGTTTAAGTATACTTAAAATAATATTAGTTGTGACTTCGAGTCCTGGTGAAAGAGTCTTTGTATTTTTTAAATGGATAATAATGAATGCTGCTGATTCGTTCGCTATTATTCTTAATTGACTAGGAACCCATGCTAGAGTAACATTTATACCAGAGCAGTAGGCTTTGACCTATTTGCAAGAATATAATAGGGTTGTTTTTGGCATGGATGGATACTTCTGGATATCTTATAAGCAGCTTAGACGCTACAACGGTATACTCTGTCGAAAGATTAGAGGAGGATGATAAGATGAGCATCTAAGGTCAGTCTGCTCCTTCTGATAAATAAACCAGGAATTAATCACAATGGTTTCCAAAGAATTAACCATACTAACATGTTATATATGAAATGAAATGATATTTATTCAGTAGAAGAAAAAACTAAAACACACATTAAACAAATAAAAAAAAGAATAAGAAACAGTGCGACAATTATAAAAAAAAAATCAGTACATGTGTATGTATGTCGAAGCACTGAATAGATCCGTGCTCAGTATAATGCTGCAGCGGCTGGAGCGCTGCAACGCTGTTTTTCAGCACAAGATTGTATAAGTGATATAAGTGGATTTCTTTAAGCAATTATTTTGTTTCCACGATAATAATAAAAACAAGAACTATTCAGTGAATCGACATTATATTAATTCTGTTATAAGTAGAATATTGCGACAATGTAATCGAATGTAGTCACCAAACTCTCAATTATTTATTTCATTTCATTTATTAATTCGCATTTAAACTTATATGGATTGGA